GAGGGGGGCAGCATTCCCAGCCAGAGGGAACATTCAGGGCAGTGCCCTGGGCCTGGCCTGCAGGGGAGCCTGGAATTCCCTCGGGGAGCCTGGAATTCCCTCGGGGAGCCTGGAATTCCCTCTGGGAATCAGGAATTCCCTCGGGGAACCTGGAAATCCCTCGGGGAGCCTGGAATTCCCTCTGGGAATCAGGAATTCCCTCGGGGAGCCTGGAATTCCCTCGGGGAGCCTGGAATTCCCTCGGGGAATCAGGAATTCCCTCGGGGAGCCTGGAATTCCCTCTGGGAATCAGGAATTCCCTCCGGGAACCTGGAAATCCCTCCTGGAACCTGGAATTCTCTCCAGGAATCAGGAAATCCCTCTGAGAACCTGGAATTCCCTCTGGGAATCAGGAATTCCCTCCGGGAACCCGGAGTCCCTCGGTGCCCTGGGATATTGCACTCGGCAGAGCTGCCCTGCCCAGGTGCAGGGGTTCCTGCACCCCCCGCTCCCAGGTGCCCCCCGAGAGGCAGGTGAGGAGCCAGCAGCAGCACAGGTGGGGAGGGGAGGCTCCACTCCTGGGGGCAGAGTCCATCACGAGGGTGAGGCAGCTGCTGTGGAGGACTCGGCTCCGCAGGATCGGGAATTTTTTCGCTTAGGGAACGATTCGGCTTCCGAGTTAGAAAGGGGAACAAAAAAAAAAAACAAAAAAACCCAAAACAAAACTCTGGGAACAACAGGAAAAAACAAAACCCAAACCAACCCAAAAAACGGGTGAGTTCCCAGCTTCAGGAGCACGAGGGAGGAAAAGGAAGAACGAATTTCTTTCTGCACAAAGCCACTAGCTGTCGAGGCCGGGGCCGTGCTGCAGCTTGCGCAGCAGGATCTGCGTCAGGTCGAAGGTGGTGAAGCTGATGCCCACGGCGATGGGGCCCTTCACCCAGTTCATGCTGAGCCCTTTGTAGAGGCCCCGCACCAGTCCCTCCTCGCGGACGATGTCGTGCATGGTGAGCAGGATGGAGCTGTAGGAGTGGCCCAGCACGCCCGCCGTCTGCATGCGGCGCCGCACCACGTCCAGCGGGTACGAGGCCGACTGGCCGATGAGGCCGGCACACGCCCCGAACAGCAGCCGCTCCGGGGGCGAGGGCTGCGCCCGGCCGCTGTGCTCTGCGGGGACACGGCGGGGACACCGGGGTTAACCCTGAATTAACGGGGGACACGGCGAGGGGACACCGGGGTTAACCCTGAATTAACGGGGGACACAACCGGCCCCGCCGCTGTGCTCTGCGGGGACACCGGGATTAACGCTGAATTAACGGGGGACACAGCGAGGGGACACCGGGGTTAACGCTGAATTTATCAGGGGACACGGCGGGGACACCGGGGTTAACGGTGAATTAACGGGGGACACAGCGAGGGGACACCGGGGTTAACCCTGAATTAACGGGGGACACAGCGAGGGGACACTGGGGTTAACGCTGAATTTATCAGGGGACAGGTTGGAGTGACACAGGGTCGGTACTCGGGTCACGCTCACGCTGTTTCGTTCCTCGGGGTTTGTTCCCCAGGCCGCGCTCCTGAGATTTTGTTCCTGAGATTTTGCTCTCCAAGCCTCAGGAGCCGAGGCTGAGCTCCCAAGATCCCCAGGTTGCACCCCCGAAGTTTTGATCCCCAAGGTTTTGCTCCCCCAGGTTTTGTTTTCCCTAGGTTGCATGCCCAAGGCTCTGCTCCCCAAGTTTTCTTCCCAAGGTTTTGTTTCCCAGGTTTTGCACCCCAAGGCTCTGCTCCCCAAGTTTTCTTCCCAAGGTTTTGTTTTCCCCTGGAGTTAACTCTGAATTAAGGGGACAGGCTGTAGGGATGGAGGTTTTGTTACTCGGGTTGTGCTCCCGAGGTTTTGTTCCCAAGTTTTGCTCCCCAGGCTGCACTGCCAAGTCAAATCACCAGGAAAGCTCCCAAACCACCAGGAAAGCTCCCACAAAACAAAACCCCGAGTGATGTCACATTTACTGACAGGCCACGGGTGCAATCCCGAGCTTCTGCTCGCAGCTCAGAGCACAGCCAAACCCTTCTCCACCTGCAAACTCCGCTTTTTTCCTCCACGAGACGGGCACAGCCTTCCCGCAGCTTCCCTCGCCCACAGCCCAGACCTCAGAGCACCCAGACCCCGCCACCCAAACACCTGGATCCACCCCAAACACCTGGATCCACCCCAAACACCTGGATCCACCCCAAACACCTGGATCCACCCCAAACACCTGGGATCTCCCCTCGTTTACCTGCGTGCACTTTCTTCAGCGTCTCGTAGGTGAAGAAGCTGAGGCCGGCGTAGGGGATGACCCCCAGGATGGTGGGAGTGAAGCCCCTGTACAAGGTTTTCAGCCCCTCCTCCCGGGATATTCGGATGAAAACGTGGACAATGCTGCTGTACCTGCCGTGGGGACACAGGGGAGAGCACACCTGCGCTGGTCAGAGCCTGGCACGTTCCCAGCACGGCTCCCTGATGGCTTAAGTGGTAATTAATCCAGCTCCCAGCTCATCAGGCAGCTCACACGGGGATTTCACATGGGTTTTGGGTCTTCCTGGACTCCCTGGA